ACACACACACACACTGTGTCTCTGGGCTCGTTGACTTGATGCTCTCGTGTTGAGTCTGTGCAGACTTCATGTTCACAGTAACGTCTTGAAAGCGTTCAGGCTTCACTCGACTGTGATTGAAGTTTTCTCTGCTCGTTTGCCACCAGCAAACAACTTCAGTCCAAAACGTTTCACACAGTGAGCACAAATGTGCAGATCCTTGTGGCGTTCAGAGCTGGACTCTTGTGTTGATTTGTGACGCAGCTCGTCTCTAACGTTTCTGGGAGGCTGGAGGAGCTTCACTGCAACGTTTCATCTTATGTGAATGAAGAATTATTAATAATCAAACAGGTTTGATCATCATCATTTTTGTTGACACTATTCATTCATTTATTGTGAATAACTTTGCTGTTGTTATCAGCATCAGTGCACTCTGGAAACTAAAAGAAGGAAACAGAACTGAAAAAAGATGCCTCAGTCTTATTTTGAAAGTTCAGTGCCCGCTAACCAGCACTAACCAAGTTCTTTCCACCTTAAATATCCTGACCAGCTGGCACCTGAGGAGGAGGAAGAAGAGGAAGAGGAGGAGCCTGTTTATCGTTTCCTGTGCCGTCTTCATTTTAACTAGGTTTTTGATGCTTATACTTCATATTTAATGCTCGTGTTTAAACTCTTTTCACTGATCTATCATTTCGTTTATATGTCAGAATCATTTCAGCTGACGCAGCTGTATCCTTCTACTCATTGAAGGCAGTTGTTAGCATCAGGTGACGCACACTGCAGTTGTGTTACAGCAGACAGAAACAGCAGTGAGAGCAGCAGCGCGAGGAGGAAGGAAAAAGCTTGTACCTGCAGCACAGGCCTGCGGCCCGACAAACATCTGGCTGGCAAAGAGGGAGGGCAGAGGTGCTCCTGGTACCACTGCTCTAAGTCTAGCTTGGACAGGTGAGGCCTGCAGCCGTCAGACTGAAGCAGCAGAGAGAGAGAAGAGGAGGGACGAAGGGAAAACGAGAAGTTAGAAAGACGTAGAAACAGGACAGAAACGTTTGCATCCTACACGCTGAAAAGCTGTGAAAACAGACTACAGTCACCGCGGCACGTTGTTCTTTAGCCTCCAGGTGAAAAACCTGTTTTCTGTGTTTACGTCCTCCTGTTTCAACCATCCCACTAACTCAGCTGTCACTGGGCACCATCATCCTGACTGACGCTCCCATTACTGCCGAGGGTTCGCAGCACCGACACACCACGCTTACGCCGCTGCTCCTGTTTTATGACCTCATCTCCGGGTGGCAGTGAGCAGATCATTACTCCAAAAAATGAATCACATGCTCTAAATATGTTAGCTTACATGAACATAGCTGTCCCACTGCAGCTTTTAATGAGAGGCTCAGGTAAACAGACACCATCTCCGCTTTAAAAGACAAGGAGCTGCAGACAGGAAACACGGGCAGGAAGTTATCCATGTCCGAGGCTGATCGCAGCACGCTGCAGAGCCGAGCTCAATTTGTTGTTTTCAGGTTTCTGCACCGTGGCGGTGTGCGTGCTACAGAAAGACAACACGATGAGCCCGTTTCACTGCACCACTAAAGACGCGTGATGTTAATGAAACGCTGTGAGACTAATGTTTGCACTTAACATCAGGACAAAGCTCGTACTTAGACTTTATATTTCTATTATTAGTTCTTAAGTAATAAACATTACTTTCACACGCCACACACCCACAGGAGGAGGAGGAGGAGGAGGAAAGACAGCACACACCTCTAATGAGAGAGGGGGGAAGGAGGCATGAGGAGAGGGGAGGCAGGAGAAGGTGGGGTCTACTGCTCCGGGCTGCAGGGGCTGGCGAAGCGGGGAGGTCGGGGACGACTCCACCTTCGGCATCCCATACATCTGATTTAACTGGCCCACTGTCACATAATCCTTCACACAGGAGAGGAAGAGGAGGAGACAGAGGAGGAAGAAGAAACGGTCAGCAGGAAGGAGATGCAGCAGAAGCAAGAGGAGCAGTTCTGACTCCAGTCTGTGTTTTCACATCATAAACTGACGACGACAGCATTTGTGGAAACATACAACACGTGGGCGGGGTTGTGGGCGGGGTTAAAGCCCGGCTCAGCAGCTGCAGCACAGAACCAGGTGACAGAGAGGCTGATGCTCACAGCCCAGCACATCCAGGTGTGTCCAGGTGAGCAGTGACGTGTTTCTGCTTCAGTTTCAGATGCAGGTCTGGATTCAGCGACACACACGTCTCTGTTTAAGTCTCGCCCGTATAAAGTGGTTGTCATTCGGAATCATATATTTAAAATGGAATTTATCATATTTTCATATAAATTGTTACCTTTTGTTACATAATAAAGCATTTATGTTCCATATTATTTACAAAGCTAACAAGTTAAACGATCTGAAGTTTTATCCTGCAGCCGTCTTTGATGTGCAGTTACAGAAAACTGCACATTAATACTGCTTCAGATGTTTGGGGTCTTATAAGTCGCTTCTGTCCAACACGTGTCACTCGTGACATCATGAAACCATCAGCCTGTACCAGCACAGCTTACATTCATCTTTACATTCAGTCTGTGAGGATCACATCAAAAACCACGTTTCTCCCAAACGGAGCCTCACTGATCCAAACATGCACGTCTCAGTCCGAAGCCGAGCATGCCAGCGCTGCTGCAGCAGCATCCTCACTGTGAAAGCAGCAGTACTTTGAGCGACCAGCAGAGGGAGCAGCGTGACATGGAACTGGGAGACAGATAGGAGAGCATAAACTTGGGAGTCGAGACAGGAAGTGATGGTACCTCACAGGCGCCAGCCAGCACAGCATCTACGAGCGGCCGTGCGAGCCGGGCTTTTCACGGTGGCCGCCGCTGCCGCCGTACATTCACGTATTCCTGAGCCGCAGCCGACAACAGACAGGACGAGAAGCAGCGGCGAGGCCGCTCAGACAGCACGTGGACAACCACACACACGGACACACGGCGCAGAGCCGGTACACAAATCCTTCGTGGTTTCTGTGACACCTGTGCAAACCAGGCTCGCTCACGTCACACTGAAAGGTGCACAGTGATGACACAGGAACACGCCACAACAGGAACAGTGCAGCTGCCGCCGTGAACCGGCGCCACATAAACAAACCAGGCACACGCTGGCACAGGTGATGCAGTGCTGAAATAAAAAGGTTCAAACTGGCCGGGCGGCGGCACACTACAGCTGGAGGGTCACCACGACACAGCAAAGGCAGGAAGCACAGCAGCAGGGCGTCATGCGGGGGTCATTACCTCTGCAGGGCTGCTGGGGTACAACTGACAGGGAGGGGAGGGGTGCAAGTAGGAAGGAGAGGCTCGACAGAGGGAGCGCTGGGAGGAGCGGCAGTCCTCCAACAACAGGTGGGCCTCGCTGATATGGAGCACTTCCTGTTTCGACAGTGCAGAGGTTAATCTCTACAGAAACGCTTCTGGGCTTCGTTAAAAGAAGAAGAAAGAGAAACAGCAGCAGCAGCTTCCTGTTACAGGTTTAACGGGTTCAGTGACCATCAGGCTGCAAAGCCGCCTCCATAAGGAGGCTGTTCATGTTTCTATTCACGTTCTTTATTGTCCCAGAAAGCAGGGTAAAATAAACAGAACAATACTATAAAACAACAACAGTGATAGAAAGTCCAAGGACAGTTATTTGCATTAAGGAGACGATGCAGTGGGAAGAAGAGAGAGCTGGAGTCTGAAACAGCTGCTGGAGGCAGCAAACTCACTGTGGATGCTTCACACAGCTAACAGCAGAGCCTTTCTCAGCACGTTTCTACTGTCGATGCCAAACGTCCATCGTGCCAGCGCCCTGACATGTTACAGTTTTTACCACAAGTTTGTTTTCTCAAATATTGTACAACAAGACAGATTTTAACTAACTGAAGCCTTTCATCGAACACACACACTGGTGCTCTCTGTGCACACACTGTGTTCATGTTTAACAAATCAAACTGCAGTTTGTGAGTCTGTCACTGAGTAACACAGCGTGTTTGTGCTCTCTGCTCGTGTCGCCTTCATGTTAAATCACTTTGGGATTTTTAAAGAAGTTATTTTAACAAAAAAGTCATTTCAAGGGACAAACTGCTTCATATTTCTTCACGCCATGAGGCTGACGTGGGCGATGAAACTGTTCCTCCTGGCTAACATTAGCTGCCCTGCTAACATGGACACATTGTTGCTAAGCAGAATAGTGACATGAGGTCGACTCTCGATCAACTGTCTGAATGTTGTCCTCATGCTGACCTCGTATTATAAGCTGTGAGCATGTAAAACTAACTGGACTGCACAATCAGTCTAATGCATTAAAGGTTAACAGCACGTGTGCACAGCAGCACATCACCGTGAGGTAAATATGGAGGGAATCAGCTGTGAGCCTTGTGTTTTCAGGCATGAACTCAAAGCGTCTCACCTCCCTCATGGCAGTGGAAGACTTGGGGAAGCTCTTTCCTCCGGTCAGAAAGTGGTATCTCCTCTCGAGGGCCGACAGCCTCTCCTTCTCCTGGACAATCAGACCACGTCATTAGGACCAAAACAACACTTTGGGTCAGAGGTTATGTCGATGTGCGTACCTTCTGGAGCATCTGCAGCGTGAGCGCTCGGTCTTTAGCCAGCCGCTCACACTCCTGAGCTGCCTGCAGGCCGAGCTGGCTGGCCTGGTTCTCCAGAGCCGACACCTTCTCCTACACAAGATACACAAACGTCGGTGCTGCGGTTGTGCTAACGTATGGTGCACCTGCCCGCAGGTGACATGGCGCCTGCCACCTCATACATTTTTAAGATTCACACAATCAGCCTCAGGTGTGACACGTTCACAGCGGGCAGCATGGCGTGTCCTCACCTTCCTCTTGGCCACGCTGTGCTGGTACTCGGCTCTCTCCTGGAGCAGCTGCTGGCTGATGGTTTCTCGCTCCTCCTCCAGGCTGCTCTCTCTCTCCAGCTGCTGAAACTCCAGGTCCTCAAACTTTTTAGTTCCTGCTTCCAGCGCCTCTCCATCCTGATCACACAACACCAATCATGATCTCACAGACAAACTCAGACAGTGATGCAGTATTTTTAAAGCCGCGCTCACTGAACTGCTGCCTAACAGCAGAAACGGTTTGTCTCACACACCTGGGGAGCACTTTCAAACCTACGCTGGTGTTTCTGGCTGAGCTGGTGCAACATGAACACTGTGGAGGTCAAACATTCAAACCTGCTGTTCTCACTGAGCATAAAGACGTATCCTGATGCTCCTAAGTGACGCAGCGAGGAGGGGAAGAGCATGGATCTGGTCAGGGCCTAGGTTAATGATTAGTGAGCAGCATTATGTGAGCGAATGACAGAAGAGATGCAGATTCACACATGCAGTGGAGTGGAGGGGTGTGTCACATGACCCGTGTTTGAGCTTCTTCTGTAGCGTGTAGGAAAAGCACGCCTTTAACACCGAGGCTTCAAAGAGTCCAGAAAAAGCGTGACACACTTCCACGGCTACTGAAAACCTCAAAACAACCTCTCTGCACAACTGCTGCAACCTTTATGCCCGTTACACAGACGGGGCGTCCACAGCTGTGTGGGCGTGTGGGCGGGGCCACCTTTAGTGAACCTACACTAGCAAGTATTTAGCTTGGTTAGACGTTATCATTAAAACGTAATCATCAGCACTCGGGCTGTGTTGTTTCTGATGGTTTTCATTATAAACCAGAGAAAAGGAAACGTGCTCTTCTTGGCTGCTGTTTTTAATAACATGCATCGTTAATGTTCCTGTCACACGTCATCTGCAGCTGCGTGGTTACAGCACAGATATGAGATTTCCCCGGTGATTCAAAGATGATCATGTGTGCGCCCAGACGGAGATCTGGCCTCAGCGTGAGGAGTTACACAGACGCTCTAATGTGTCAACAGTCTGTATCTGTCAGGATGCCTCTGAGTCAGACGCATGAACTCCACTTAAAGAGAAAAACTATTTGGTGCTGTAACAGCGAAGGTTGTGGGTGGGATGGTCTACAGTGGGGAAGGATGGACGGGTGCTTCTGACGACCCACCCTCTTGAGCTGTTCCTGCAACTGTTCCCGCAGCGACTCGGGACAGTTATGAAGCTGGTTCTTCAGCTCAGCGTAGCCCTCCTGGAGGCTCTGCAGAACCCGGCGCTCGGCCTCAACATTAGCCCTCTCCTAGAAAGACACACACCCACACACAGGATGGATGGACGAGAGAAAGACAGAAACACACTGCTCAACATCCACGCCGTGCAAATCAAACGCTGTAAGGTGTTAGACACAGACACAGGAAGTAGCAGGTACAGCACCTTTAATAAACATCAATAAGCTGCACAGAAGTTTCCACAAAGTGTATTTGTGATGGAGCAGAGAGCATTCCCACCTCAGGCCTCCGGGGTGCCCTTCCAATAAATACCAACCTTGCTGTTATCGGCCGTGCTGCAGCAACAGCACGTGGAGAAACGAGGACGCTACAGAGTTTACAACTGGCTACCAGAAAGCTACTAAATGCATCTTCTTTCCACTTCCTTTGTAGTGAAATGCTGTGAGTACAAAGACGCCACCTGCAGGATGGAGAACATGCTCGAGCATTGCCTCTGCTGGTGAAACGTCTTATTAAAGGCCCAGAGCAGAACCGAAAGCTACAGACAGGCCTCCTTCAGAGGGGAAGAAAGAGCGCACTCTGAGTGCAGAGGAAGCAGAGGGAGGATTCAGGGTTAACGGTGGCGGTTAGTCAGCTGAGTGAGACTGAGCACAAAGACCAACCTAAGGCAGAAACATGCAACAGCAGACACTGAACTTTTATTAAGCCCTCGCAGCACGGATCCTCTACGACGTCTATCAGTAATCGAGGATGCTCAGAAACACCGACAGCGATGACCCAGTGAGGGACGACTGAAAGCACAGGCAGTGAGTGTGTCTGTGTTTAACCTCTGACCTGAAACAAAACCCTGAAGCCCCGCCCTCCTGATTACGGCTTCATGTACCTTGTCTTTCTCTCTCTGGATGGCGCTCTCCAGCTCGTCCAGCTTGTGCTGCAGCTGAGCGATGATATCAGCTTCGGTCTCTATCTGGTCGAGCTCCGCCTGCCTCTCGCCCTGCAGCAAGGCGCGCTCCATCTCAGCCTGGAGGGACAGTGACACAGTGGGACCATCATAGCTGCTCTGTCTCAGAACAAACGTTATGAAGAGGTGCTGATGCCCATCAGCATCATCCACTGCTCTACCTCCTGTTTGGACTCTTGGAGCTGCTGCTCCAGTTCTGTGAGCCGGGTTTTGAGCTCGTCGATCCGAGCCAGGACACGGACCCGCTCTTCCTCCAGGTAGCCCAGCTCCACTCGACCGCCGCTGCCTGCGCTGGAGGAGTCCTCGTGCTTCAGAGAGAAACAGAGGTGAGAACAGGCTCACGTTCAAACATATGTAATCATTAGGAATCTGACAAAAGATGGAGAACAAAGGAAGACGATTAACTGACGGCACAAACAGAAGAAATGAGCCTCGTGCAGCATCCAGTGCAAAAACACAAGCAATGCAAAAGCTGACAAACTGCTTCAAAGAGAAGCTGAGTCTGTGTGGAGATGAAGCCTGGTGCAGCAGAGCGTTTGCAGCTGCATGCACAGACAGCGTGTGAAACCTCTGACCTGTCTGTCTCCATTGTGCAGCGTGGACGCTGCGCTGGGAGCAGGAGACGTCCTCACCTCCTGATGAGTGCTCTCCGTGCTACTGCACTCCTCCTTCAGGTTCTCCTCGTCGCTCTCCCTCTGTCTCTGCGCTAGGCGCAGCGTGTTTGAAGACGCCGTCCCTCCCGGCGCGTTCTCCAGACATCCCGGGAATCCCGACCTCCCCAAGCACAGCGGATCCAGGCCGGGGCCCTCTCCTTTGTTGTACTCAGCACAGAGGTTTAAGATGGTCTCTAGTCGCTGTCTCTCCTGCGGCGAGCACACGAGGAAAGGAGGACATGAGATCAGGGCTGCACAGGCAGGAGTGACAGCGCAAAACAGCTGACCTGTGATGGCAGACACACTCATGTGTTTGTGCACACAGACTCTGAACAGCTGCACGGCAGCCCGACTCTGCAAAGGTGCAGCTGATATTATTCTTATAACTGATTAATCAGCTGATTGTCTTTGATTGATTGAAGACGAACTAGCGCTGACTTTGACCTTCGACCTCTTTACAACAAGCTGCTGGGCCTCCCATGATGCACTGCTTCTTCTTCACTCACCCTTTTTCACTGTGTTTACACACAGCTCCGTGTTATTACTTTATTATTATTAACTTCAGGGCTCGCAAAATTTCAAAATCCCTGGTAG